GGGGGGGGTGTAGGGGTTTAGGAGGGTTTGGAGTGTCAGGGTGTCATGGGGCTGGATGTGGGGCTTGGGGGGGGATCAGAGGGAGTTGTGGGGGGTCTGTGGGTGGTGAGGGAGGGTTATGGGGTTTGGGGAAATCAGAGACACATGGTCAGACCCGGCAGTGTGGGGCGGTTATGGGGTCTGGGATGGAAGAGGGTGCGGGAGGTTATGGGGTTTGGGGGTCTGGCGTGGCAGAGAGTCCTGGGGGGTGAGGAGAATGGGGGAATCGGAAGGGATTGAGCAGTCTGGGGCAGCAGAGGGTCCCGGGGGGGATGGGCTGCGGGGGATCAGCCCCCGTTCCCCTCCCCCTTCTCAGGACAGCTCGGGGCTGCGGCTCTGGAAGCGCCGCTGGTTCGTACTGGTGGATCTCTGCCTCTACTACTACCGGGGTGAGGGGGGCACGGGATCTGGAGACACCCGGAGTGCCTGGGAGTCGGGGGCTGGGGTGACCTGGCGTCCCTGGGGGGGGTCAGGGCTCCCGGAGTGTCTCTGGGTCACTGGGAGGGCTCAGGGGTCCTGGGGTGTTGGACAGTTCTTGGAGGACCCAGAATCCCGGGGGATTGGGGGTCCCTGGGGCAGTCAGAGATCCCAGTGGGATCAAGGATCCCTGGGGTATTTGGGTGTCTCTGGGGGAGTCAGGGATTCCCCGGGGATTGGGGGTCTCTGGAGCATTGGGAATTCCTGAGGGTTGGGGATCAGGGATTCCCTAGGATCGGGGCTCCCTGGGGACTTGAAGAGTCCTTGATGGGGTTCTACGGTCAGGGGGGCCCCGAGGAGGTTTGGGGGCATCAGAGGAGGTCCCTGGCATGTCCCTGATGGTACTGGAGACCTCGGGGTGCAGATGGGCGCTCTGGTGCCCCCCACTGTGACCTCCTCTGCCCCCAGACAGCAGCGAGCAGCAAGTGCGGGGCGGCCTCCCCCTGCCCGGCTACGAGATCCGCGTCCTGCCGGCCGCCCCCCGCGCCCCCCGCGCCCCCCAGTTCCTCTTCACGGTCAGCCCCGGCTCCCTGGGTCCGCGGATCCGGGGGTGCCCTGCGTGGGGGGGCCGGGACCCCGACACCTGAGCCCGTTCTAGAAAGGCTCCCCCATTCCCAGGCTGAACACGCCGGGATGCGAACGTACTGCCTGGGGGCCGAGAGCGCCGAGGAGCTGCACGCCTGGGTCTGTGCCCTGCGCCGGGGGGCATCGGCCCTGCCCGGGTGAGTGGGGCTCGGGGGGCACCGGGGGGCATCGGCCCTGCCCGGGTGAGTGGGGCTCGGGGGGCACCGGGGGGCACGGGTCTATGGGGGGGCACAGAGAAGGGCTGGGTTTGGAGGGGTTTGGGGGGTCCCAGGCGGCAGGAGGAGGTTAGAGAGTTTGGAGAGAGACAGAGAGGGTTTGGGGAAGCTGGAGAGGGGGGCACAGAGGGTTTGTGGGGTCTTGGGGGCAGTTAACCCTTTAACTCCTGTTTTCTCCCCACTTCCCAGCTCGGCCCCCTCGCTCTCCCAGCAGGCGCTGCAGGAACCCCGGAGTGCGGATCCTCCCTCGGCCCCACTGCCCACGCACTCCCCGGGTGAGGGGCTCGGGGGCACACCCGTGCCCCCTCCTTGCTGCCCCCCAGTCCCTCCACTGCCCCACAGCGAGGTGAGATCTGGGGTGGGGGAGAATTGAAATGGGGGAAATATGAGGGGGGCAAGTACTGGGGTGATTGTGGTGCAGATCAGTGTGGGGAGGGGGGTTGGGGGCAGAGCGGGGGGACTGAGAGGTGGGAGGGAGTTATGGGGCAAAATGGGGGGGCTATGGTGCAGAGAGGCGGCTATTGGCCTGTGGGGGGCTCGGGAGCAGAGAGAAGGGGCAATGGGGCAGGAGCGGTTCTGAGTCCAGCCGGAGCAGCGCTCCCTGTGCCCTCCCGCAGGTGCCCCAAGCCCAGGAGGAGTCCCCGGCGCCGGGGGGGCCGCGGGGACACCCCCAGCCCGAGCCCGCAGGTGAGACCCGGCCACGCCCCGGCCACGCCCCTGCCACGCCCCTTGGCCGAGCGGCCCCGCCCATTCTGGCCCCGCCTCCCCAGCGCGGAGTCCGAGGAAGCCCCGCCCTCCTGGAGCAGCTCCGCCGGAGCGAGACACCGGGACCAGTCAGCCACCGGCCTCTCCAACCGCCTCTTCTGATTGGCTGCCGAGCGCCGCCGGGCTCGCGGGCACCGCCCCCGCTCCGGCATCCAATGAGGCGTCGCGACAGCGGCGGGAGGGGGTGGGGGGGCGTGGCCGGGCGCGCGAAGGTGTGGCCGGGCGGCCAATCAGAATCACGCTGCTGCAGGCCAGCTTCTGAGGGGGCGGGACCGGGCCGAGGGGGCGGGGCCCGGTGGGCACGCGCGGCGCGCGGCCCCGCCGCGGTGCGGAAGATGGCGGCGGGAGCGCGGGCGCGGCCCCGCGGGGCGCGCGGTGAGTGGGGACCCCCGGGCGGGGACCCCTGGACCCCCCGCCCTGAGAGCCCCCGCGGCATCCCCGGATCCCTCATCCTCCCCCGGACTCCGCGTCCACCCCGCTCCCCGCGCCTCCCCCGGCGGGGACACCCTCCATCCTCCTCCCCCCTGGACCCTGCGGCTCCCCAGGACCCGCATCCCTTCTGCTCTCCGCATCCCCCCGGGTGGAGACCCCACCCTGAGCCCCTGAGACCCACATCTTCCTCGCTCTTCGCATCACCCGCATCCCACTCCCCTGAGCCCTCCCATTCCCCCCGTACCCCGCATCCCCCCGGGCCGGGACACCCGTATCCCCCTTCTGAGACCCCTGAGCCCCACTCCTGTCCCCGCATCGCCCCGACAGGGGACCCCCGCTCCCGTGGGCTTCCTGATCCTCCCTTGGACCCCGCATCCCCCCGCTCTCCGCATCTCCCCGCTCCCCGCATCCCCCCGGGCGGGGACCCCGCACCCCGAGCCCCCCGAGCCCTCCCCGGACCCCGCTGCCCTCCCGGAGCCGGCGGGCGGCCCCCAGAGTGGCCCCACGGTCGTTGCCTCGCTGGGGACAAAGGTCTGGCCGCAGCTCGGACCCGGGGCCGAGGGGCCCCGTTCTACCCCCGCACCGCCCGACCTTCTCCGGGCACCGGAGCCACGCTGGGGCTGGGGGGAACCCCGGGGACAGGCTGGGGGGCTGGGGGCTGCTCCCATCGCCCCACGTCCCCTTGTCCCCTTGGCCGTGGAAGGGTCACCAGCTCTGGAGCAGCCCCCGGATACAGGGGGTCCTGTGGGGGGTGTCCCCCTGCCCATCGAGGGGTCACTGCCGCTGCAGGGGCCACTGGGGCTGAGGGGGCTCCCATGGGGGTGCCCCCCTTGTCCCACAGCCCCACACCAGTGTCCCTGCTCTGCTGGGCAGCGTGGCCAAACCCCTCTGGATCCAGGGGGACAGACTGGAACTGGGGACAGAGCCAGCCCAGACCGGGGACGGGGCTCCCAGTATGAACTGAGCAGAAGCCCGTGGAGTCCCGGGGCTCCCTGCAAGCCGGACAATGGAGGCAGCTGCCCGCAGGACTGGCACTGAGGCCTCTGCATCCTGCTTTGCCGGCCATTCCCGGTGACTCCCGGCCATTCCCGGTGATTCCCGACCATTCCCGGTGATTCCCGGTGTCCCCCCGCCCGCTGTCCCGCAGGGGGTACTCCAGGGATGTGGAGGGCAGCTGGTTCCGCTCCCTCTTCGTGCACAAGGTGGATCCCCGCAAGGATGCTCATTCCAACCTCCTCTCCAAGAAGGAGACCAGCAACCTCTACAAGATCCAGTGTGAGTGCTGCTGCCGGGAGGAAGGCAGGCACAGCTGGGCTGCACCCCTCACCCACCCGCTGGGACCCCGTTCCCCTTCCTTCCCCCGTTCCCAGCCCCTCTCTCCTGTCCCTGCAGTTCACAATGTGAAGCCGGAATGCCTGGAAGCCTACAACAAGCTGACGTGAGCACACTGAGGGGCCTTCCCAGCGTCCCAACGGAGTGTTGGGGTGCTGTTCTGGACTGACAGGAGTGGGAGGGCTCCTGGAGCTCCTGGGTGGATCTGAGTCCCTGTACTGTGCCTCAGTTTCCCTCCCTGTGAAATGGATGCATCCCCCAGGCTATGCCAGATCCTGTTTGGGAGGGCAAAGAGGGGCACTGGGAGGGTTTTGGGGCGCTGCCCCCCACCCCACTGCCCCCCTCTGTGCCCCCACAGAGAGGAGGTGCTGCCCAAGCTCCATTCGGACCCCGACTACCCCTGTGACCTGGTGGGCAACTGGAACACGTGGTACGGCGAGCAGGACCAGGCAGGTGAGGCCAGGCAGTGGCTCCTGCTGCCTCTGCTGCCACGGGCAGAGATGCTGGTGGGATTTTGGGGCGCTGCTCCCCTTCCCCACCCCAAACCCCTCTTTGCAGTGCACCTGTGGCGCTTCTCGGGCGGGTACCCGGCGCTCATGGACTGCATGAACAAGCTCAGGCAGAACAAGGTACCCCCGGGGTGAGCCCCCCCTGTGCCCCACGCCCCCGGCCCGTGTCACCCCCACCCTGACACCCCCGGCTGGGGCTGTCCCCAGGAGTACCTGGACTTCCGCAAGGAGAGGAGCCGGATGCTGCTGTCCCGCAGGAACCAGCTGCTCCTGGAATTCAGCTTCTGGAATGAGCCCCAGCCCCGCCAGGGACCAAACATCTACGAGCTCAGGACCTACAAGTTGAAGGTGGGCATCAGCCTGGGCCTCGGGGGGGTCTTCAGGCTGGTGTACCCCGGTTTTGCTGGGCAGCTCCCCCGATTCCTCCTTCTGGGTGAGGAGACCCCAAGCTGGGTGAGCAGGGGGGTTCTGACTGGTTTTCCTCCCCCGTTTCCAGCCAGGGACCATGATCGAGTGGGGCAACAACTGGTAAGGCACTGGTTTCCCAGCATGGAGGGATCCAAGGTGGGAAAAGCTCCCTGTGGAGAAGGGGGGACCCCTGGGGCAGCCCCCCATGTGTCCTCTGCTTCGTGCAGGGCTCGGGCCATCAAGTACCGCCAGGAGAATCAGGAGGCAGTCGGGGGGTTCTTCTCCCAGATCGGGGAGCTCTACGTGGTGCACCACCTCTGGGGTAAGGGGGTCACCCCTGGGGGTCCCCCGGCCTGGGGGCTGTGCTGGGGGGCTCAGGGTGTCCCCTCATCCTCTCCCCACAGCCTACAGGGATCTGCAGTCCCGGGAGGAGACCAGGAATGCGGCCTGGAGGAAGAGGGGCTGGGATGAGAACGTTTATTACACCGGTGAGTGGGACCTCACCCGCTTTGGGGACCCCCTGGCCGTGCTGGGGACCCCCTGGCCTCACCTCTGTCTGCTTTGCTCCCCCAGTGCCGCTGATCCGGACCATGGAATCCCGGATAATGATTCCCCTGAAGATCTCCCCCCTGCAGTGATTTGGGGCCGTGCCAGGGGGGTCTCCCTGCACCCCCAGGGGCTCCCTGCCACGCCCTGGCCCTGCTGGGGAAGGGCTGGGGGGTTCTGCTCCCCCTGGCTCCCAGCTCTCCCCCCACCCCATTTTGGGGTGCCCTGGGGGGGTTGAGAGCCGGGAGGGGAAGGTGGGAGCCCCCCATCCTGTGGTGGGTCCCCAGGATGGTGCTGCTGGGGGGGCTGTGGAGGTGGGGAGGGCTTAATTGCTCCTGATGGGCCCAGCGGGTGCCTTTGCTGCCAATTAAATATTTAATATGCTAAAGCCTAGGCCCCTCTCGGGGTGGGGAGGGCGGGACTGGGGGGGCTTGATGTGACCCCCCAGGCTGGTGTCACCCAGGGGTTGCCCTGCCCCACATCATGGGTGCTTCCTGCACCGAAGGACCTCCACCCATGGGTGCTGGGATACACTGAGGGACCCCCCAAAACCCCAGTGCCACTGGGGACCCCTTGCCAAGCCCATGGATACCCCCAAGTGCCATCAGGGTCCCCATCCCATGCTCCCCTCAAGGTCGTGGATACACCCAGCACCAACAGAGACCCATCCAATGCCCCCCCCCAAGCTCCTGGATCTCCCAGCACCACTGGGCACCCCAAGGCAAGGCCCAGTCCAGCCCATGGGTACCCCCCAGGGCCGCTGGAGACCTCATCCCAAGCTCCTGAAACCCCCCTTGCTAAGGTGGACACCATCCCATGACCCTCCAAGGCTATGGATGCTCCCAGTGCCACTTTGGACCGCTTCTCATGCCGTTCTGAGCGCAGAGATCTCCCCAGTGCCATTGGGGACCCCATCCCCACCCCCCCCAAGCCCATGGATCCTACCACCATGACCAATGACTCCATCCTGTGCCCCTCCCAAGCCCCTGTGTGCCCCCCACCCCACTGGGATCCCATCCCAAGCCCATGGGTACCCCCACTGCCATCAGGGACCCCATCCCAAGCCCTCCCAACCAATGGGCACCCCCAGTGCCCCTGGGGACCCAATCCCAGGCCCATGGACATCCATCAGTGCTTCTGGGACACCTATCCAAGCTGCCCCCGTTCCTGTGGGTGCCCTTCTGCACCAGGACCCCCCAGTGCCACCAGAGCGCCCGGCGTGGAGGTCTCCCATGATGACCACGCCCCTTGGTTAAGCCACGCCCATTTCCGCTGAGCCAGGCCCCCAGCCCCTTGCGGGTCCTCCAGGATGCCGGGCCCGCTAGGAGTCGCCTGTAGCAGCGGCAGCCTCTCGCCGCCGCTCCGCGCCGCGCTCGGCCGCTCCGTGACGTCACTTCCGGAGGCGCGGAGCCGAGGCCGCGGTGAGTGCCGGGGTGAGCCGGGACCCCCGGAGGGGATGGGGGGAACGGCCCCGGCCCCTTGGGCTCCGCAGGGCGGGAGGTCTGTGGCCCGGTGTGCTAGGGGCTCAGCGGAAGTGGAGGCTCCTGGTCTGGAGGGGCGAAGGCCCCGTGCTGAGGGAGCTCTGAAGCCTCGGGCCCGGTGTGCAGGGCTCTGGAGGGCCGAGAGTCCCCGGCGTGAGGGTCTGGGGCGGCTCTGAAGGAGTGAAGGGCTCTGGTGTGCGGGGCTCTGGAGGAGCGAAGGGTCCGGCTCTGTGAGGGGTCGGGGGGCTCCGCTGAGGCAGAAGCCGCAGTCCGGTGTGCTGCAGTCCGGGGGCTCAGGGCGGGGTTGAGCGCTCGGGCCCGGGGTCTCAAGGGAGCTCAGGGGCACTGGGGGACCGGGGGGGCTGTGGTGGAGCAGACCCCGGGCCCGCCGTGCTGGTCCGGGGGGCTGGAAAGGGCTGGGAGGTGCAGGATGGAGGGAGGCACAGGGGCCACTGCAGAGCCCAGGCGGGGCTGGCGGGGGGAGCCCCGGTCCAGGTGGGTTTGGCCCCCACGGACTCGCCCCGTGCTCCCTCCCAGCCCTGCCGGCAGCACCATGTCCTCCGAGTCCAGCAAGAAGAGGAAGCCCAAGGTGATCCGCACGGACGGGGTCCCAGCCGAGGGCAAGCGGGGCAAGGGCGACACGGACCAGGTACAGACGTGCCCAGGGCCCTGCCCACACCCCTCTGTGCTGGCCCGGCTTTCCCTGCTGGAAAACAATGCCCTGTGAGCAGCTGTGGCTGCCCCATCCTGGCAGTGTCCCAGGCCAGGTTGGACGGGGCTTGGAGAGAACTGGGATAGTGGAAGGTGTCCCTGCTATGGGACTGGATGGGCTTTAAAGTCCTCCCTTCCCACCCAAACCATTCTGCAATTCCATGAATTGTGAGATCCAGTTCCCCCAGCTTCCAATGCCTCTTATACTCCCACTGCGAATTCCTAAACCTGCTTCCATCTCTTTCAGGAGACACAAACACTCCTCTGGAGAGTGAGCCCAAAGCTGGAAGATCCCTCAGGGATTTGCATGGTGCCTTCAAACCCTCCCGTGAGCAGCAGGATAGTGTAGGATCAGCCAGAGTGGGGAGTGGGGTGGAGAAGGAGGAGGAATCACCTTTCTGGATTGTCCTCTGTGGTCATGTAGATCATGGAATATCCTGAGTTGGAAGGGATCCACAAGGATCCTCCAGTCCAGCTCCTGGCCCTGCACAGGACAGCCCAACGGTGCCAGTTCAAATCTATAACAATTAAAGACAGCCTGAACTCGCCAGGTGTTTTAGTGACTGGCGGGTTTGGGATTGTTGGAACAGTCCTCTCCCTGTGTAAAGCCATGGGATTCATGGGCAGAGGCAGAAATGGCAGCTTGTCCCCCAGAGCCCTTTCCAGAGGGAGGGATGAGCCACAGGAGGTGTTCTTGCCTTGGCAGGATGTCAGGTACTACAGCGAGGAGAGCGAGGTGGATCTGCGGGACCCCATCAAGGACTACGAGCTCTACAGGGAGACCTGCCAGGAGCTCCAGAGGCTCATGGCAGAGATTCAGGAGCTGAAGAGCCGGGGCATCAAGGAAAATGTGAGGAGAGCCTCCACCTGTGGTGTAACATGTCTGTCGTTTGGTGTTTCCCCATTAATCCCAGGGGAAAGGCAGCAGGAGCTGTGATGTTTCCTGGGCAGAGTCAGGGAAATGGAACAACCCAACCTCCCTTTGCCAGGCTGCTGGGGCAGGGATTTAACTCTGGAAGTTTAATATTCTCCCTTTCCCAGGCTGTTGGGGCAGGTATTTAGCTCTGGAAATAGAATAGCCTCCCTTGTCCCAGGCTCCTGGGACACTTCAGGTGTTCCAGGCTGAGCCACCTCTGTTCCTGCTGCTGAGGAAGATGGCTGGAGTGATTCTTTGAGGAGCCTGGACCCTCTCCCAGTTATTCCCAGCAGAGCCCTGTGGTCTGGCAGGAGGAGGCTCCCTCAGAAGCCCCAGGGATATAAATGTGGATCCATAGCAAAGCGTGGAGCCCCTTTTGTGGCAGGAATTCCCTGCAGAGATGGTGCCAGCCATCCCTCCTGCTTCCACCCCCTCTCTGCTCCCCTCAGGCCTCAGAGATCGACGAGCGGCGCGTGCAGAGCTGCGTGCACTTCATGACCCTGAAGAAGCTGAACCGCCTGGCCCACATCCGGCTGAAGAAGGGCAGGGACCAGACCCACGAGGTACCCAGGAGGGGCTGGGAGGGAGGAATGCAGCTTGGGATTTAGGGGGGTCAGAGATGGGGCAGGTCCTGCCTGGTCTGTGTGCATGGTGTGAGCAGTTACACCTCCGCCAGGTTGTGTGGTTTGAGTTGAGGGTTTGTTGGGAGGTTCTGTCTTGGTTTGAAAAGCCAGGTGTCTGCTGAGGAAGGCAGGAGCCTCCCTTGAAGCGGAAAATGCAAACCCCTCCCTCCAAATTATTTTAATTTTGAATTTAAGAGGCTCTCAGGCAAAGGTAGGGGAGTGGGAGTAACAGCTCTTTACTAGGAAAATTAAAAATACAAATGCAATTGTACAAACAAAAAAAACCAACAGTGACAGCTGATGGCAATGGAATACACACCCCAGCTACACCTTTCAACCTAAGACAGGCTCAGATCCTGATAAACTCCTGGCTGCAGGGCAGCTGTAATTAGATCAATAATGAAGGAGCAGTATTGCTTTTGCCCCAAGTGTAGTAGGAGGTCACAAACTCTGTTTCAAGGGTCTGGTGTTGTGCAGGTGTATCAGTGAGTGGATGCTCGGCCTGGAAGCTGCATAACCAGAGCTCTCAGAGAGGGGACTCTGTGTGCCCCAGCAAATGAACCCTGTCCTGTGCCTTGGCGTTCAAATGTGCAGGAAGGAGCAGGATCAGTCTCCTGTCACAATCCTTTGCTCCTCCAGCCCTTAAAAATGTCATTCTTCCCCCTGAAAATTGTTGCATACCCTAAAACCTGCTGTCCCAAGCTGCTGTAGTGACATGGTCTTGGTGACTCTTTCTTGGTGACTGTTTTTCCTGCTCCATCCCTGCTCTGGCTGTGTCTGTGTTTCAGGCAAAGCAGAAGGTCGATGCCTATCACCTGCAGCTCCAGAACCTGCTCTACGAGGTGATGCACCTGCAGAAAGAGATCACCAAGTGCCTGGAATTCAAGTAAGCGTGGCCAGGGAGCAGAGGGAGCGTTGGTGTGTCTGGGATGGATGGGTGATTCCTGAGTTTGGGAGCTCTTCCCACATTCACTGTGGTAGCAGAGTGGGTGCTCCAGGTGTTTGTAATAATGGAATAGTTTGGGTTGGAAGGGACATTAAAGCCCATCCAGTGCCACCCCTGCCATGGGCAGGAACACCTTCCACTGTCCCAGGCTGCTCCAAGCCCTGTCCAGCCTGGCCTTGGGCACTGCCAGGGATCCAGGGGCAGCCACAGCTGCTCTGGGCACCCTGTGCCAGGGCCTGCCCACCCTCTCAGGGAACAATTCCTAATTCCCAATATCCCATCCATCCCTGCCCTCTGGCAGTGGGAAGCCATTCCCTGTGTCCTGTCCCTCCATCCCTTGTCCCCAATCCCTCAATCCCTCTCCAGCTCTCCTGGAGCCCCTTTAGGCACAGACAGTAGAGGTCAAAACAAGTTCAGCTCACTGATGGTGGCGGCTCAGTAGCAGGGCAGGAAGCACCAGTGGGACACTCTCCTGTGGGGACACATTGAGCACTTCCCACTTTTCCCTGGTCTGATCCATGTGTCCTGGCAGATCCAAACATGAGGAGATCGAGCTGGTGAGCCTGGAGGAGTTCTACAAAGAGGCCCCCCCTGAAATCAGCCGCCCTGCCATCACCCTGACCGAGCCCCACCAGCAGACCCTGGCCCGTCTGGACTGGGAGCTGGAGCAGCGCAAGAGGTGGGTCAGTGGTGTTCCCATTC